ACTGTCTTAAGCACATTAAACCAGCATTTGAAAATGCTACAAAACTTTCCCCAAGCTCCTAGGGATTTGATTTTGCTTGTCATTTGTTGAAATAAATATAAAAAGTACAGTGAGTTCGTGACTGTTCGCTGAATGTGACCCACAATCTCTGATTCTCCTCCGTGGCCGTGGAAAAATGAATATTTATAATGACAGCAATTATACTTTGTCATTTAAAAGTTTCCAACAAAGAAATGGATGGACTTCTGTCAGCTTGTTGAACACACGTTTATTTGGATAATGTACCGTATGATGGCTGAAGCAGCAGCGGGCGACACTGTTTTCACGCTAATCAGGTAAACACTGTAAACCAGATTCTACCAAACCTAAGAGAGAAATGCAGTGCATATCATGCAGTGCGATAAAATAGCTTCTCTTCCCTGCAAACGATACAATGAAGAATGAATGGTTGTTTAACTTAAAGGCAAAAACAAAACAAAAGATGAGCATTTATCCTTATAGAGAATGAGAAGTAACCATGGGAACGGATAGCGTATCCTGCTAATATGGCGGCGCCTTCCCGAAATGCAATGCGGAGTGAAAAGATCGTGACGTAACTCCTCAATTCTTTAACTCCAAAATTGATTTAGAAATGTCATCATGGTGCCTATTTTTGTAATGGACATTTTATAAGAAAAAAATTCTGTATCAGAGCTGAAGTACTGTAATAGGCCAAACTCCTCAAAAGCCTGTTACACAAGCTGTGTAAGAGACACAAGATGTGTTTCGAGGAGAATATCTTGACTTTTTAGTGTTTTTGTCTTTTTTCAAATATGTTACAACAGCGCAACGTGAACGTTATTCTTCTTCTTCTTCTTCATGTTTTATGGCGGGTGGCATCCAGGTACAGTGTATGTAAATTCAATATGATGTATTTTGAATTTTGCACTGCATTGTGTTTAAGGTTTATCGGAAAACACATTAAAATTAACCATTTTATGACACTAACCTTTTAACCATACATTTGTAGTTAAACTGTGGGTTAAAAAAAATGACAATCAATCCATGGTTACTGCACTTCTACTATAGTAAAACCATTGTTAATTTCCGTATTTCCATAAGGGAAAATGTATGTCCTGACAGAAAAGTATAAGTACATTTTACTCTTCTTTTTTTTTTCCCAAGCATAATCATATGCTACAGTTACACAAATATCCTTAAGGTGGATTAGTGAGGTTAAAATATCCAAGGCAATAATATGTTCAGATTCTAGTTCAGCTCTAATAAGTTTGAATGAGCAGAAGTCAGAAACAAGACTTAGACTTCCTCTTAGTAGGTCAGAAATTAAATTAATTATCAAAAATAATATTTTGAAATTATGGCAACAGTATTGGGATACAGATACCAAAGGTAGGCATTTGTATCAAATACAATCAACAGTGGATAAGGGAAGATCAGGTTGGAGCAGAACTGAGGAGAACATGATTACAAGGTTACAATTGGGGCATACAAGGCTGAACAGTGCAATGCATTTAATAAGTAAACATCCAACAGGGCTATGTGAGGTATGTGACGTTAATGAAACAGTTGAACACGTTATAATGTACTGTAGGAAATATACTGTTGAAAGAAATGAGTTGAAGGATGAACTAGAGAATAAGGGTGATCAGTTTACAATTAAGAATTGATTAAATCCAGAGAGAAATATAAAACCATTATTGATACAATATTTGGGAAGTAGCCTACTGGTTTGCACAAATGAGTATAAGTAAGTGTTTATTTTATTTATTTGTGTGTGTGTGTGTGTGTGTGTGTGTGTGTGTGTGTGTGTGTGTGTGTGTGTGTGATCTAAATCCTGCGATGAGGGCTGAGGGTGGACGGAGGAGCTGAACACGCAGCGCCCGGATGAAGCTCTGTGAAGACTCTGAGCGGGTATAAGAATCAGGGGTGAATGGGGTGAAATCAGGGGTATAAATAAGTATGAATCAGGGGTGATTGAATGTGGGTTGGTAGGTTTATTAGGAGACTGTTAATGTAGATAGAGTGTCAATGGTCCATTTGAGCGATAGGTGGCGGTAATGCACGTATAAGTCTGCGATCCGCCGTAAAGCAAGAAGAACTTTCGATGAAACTGCGGTCAAAGGTCAGTCATAAATGTGAAAGTGATTAGATGGTGGTGGTGTCCTTGATTCGTTCTCTTTCATAACTTCGAGTGTCAGGTCTCGGTTAGGCAGCTAAAATTCAACGTATTACTAGTAAAAACTACATGACCACTG